GAAAAATGCTTTCAGCATTCATCATCTTCTTCCACCTTCATCCTCTTATCCCATAGAGTACTAGTACCCACCTCTCATTTTTCAAACAGAATTTGCAACATTATAGCATCATTAAATACCCAAACCTCCCAACATTTCGAATGGAATAAAAGACACTTTCAATTTTATGGGTGCCAGGGGCAGTGCCGGTGCTAGGATTTTAAGTTACACAGGCGAACATGCATTTTGGTGCCCCTCAACCTCCTTTAAAAAAAAAAAATGCATCTTCACCTGTGTGTATTTCCTCCCAAGCCACAGGCATATTTTTTCAGTCACACAGTCATACAAACACAGAAATAATCATACAGAGACATTTAGACACATACAGTCAGTCAGAGACATACAGACATACAGGCAAAGACATACATGCATACAGAGACATGAAGGCATATAAAAACATGCATACATACAGAGGCATACCGTCATACAGACACATACATACATACAGAAACATACATACAAAGACATCCAGGCACATACATACATACATACAAACATACAGAAACATACAGGCATGCAGACACATACATACATACAGGCATACAGAGACATACAGGCATACAAAAACATACATACAAAGACATACAGGCATACATACAGAGACATACAGGCATACAGAAACATACATACAAGACATACAGGCATACATACAGAGACATACAGGCATACAGAAACATACATACAAGACATACAGGCATACATACAGAGACATACAGGCATACAGAAACATACATACAAGACATACAGGCATACAGACACATACAAACATTCATACATAGAGAGGCAAACTGTCATACAGACATACATACATAAACATACATACAAAGACATACAGGCATACAGAGACACACAGACACATACGTACATACAGAGACATAAAGGCATACAGTTACACACATGCATACAGAGACATATATACAGACATTCAGAGACAAACAAACATTTAGTTACATACATGCATGCATACAGATACATGCATGCATACAGAGACATACATACATAGAGATAGATACATACATACAGAGACATACATACACAGACATACAGACATACACACATACAGAGACATACATACATAGAGATAGATACATACATACAGAGACATACATACACAGACATACAGACATACACACATACAGAGACATACATACAGAGACATACATACATACAGATACATACATGCATGCATACAGATAGATACATACATACAGAGACAGACATACAGAGACAGACATACATACATACAGATACATGCATGCATACAGATAGATACATACATACATACAGAGACATACATACATACAGAAACATACATACAGAGACATACATACAGAGACAAACATACATACAAACAGAGACATACAGACATACATACAGAGACATACACACATACAGAGACATACATACAGAGACATACAGAGACATACATTCAGACAGAGACATACATACATACATACAGAGACATACATAGAGACATACAGACATACATTCATACAGACATACATACAGAGACATACACACATACAAAGACATACATACAGAGACATACATACAGAGACATACATTCAGACAGAGACATACATACATACATACACATACAGACATAAATACAGAGACATACATAGAGACATACAGACACACATTCATACAGACATACATACAGAGACATACATACATACATACATACAGAGACATACATACATAAATACAGAGACATACATACATACATACAGAGACATACATAGAGACATACAGACACACATTCATACAGACATACATACAGAGACATACATACATACATACATACAGAGACATACAGACATAAATACAGAGACATACATACATACATACATACAGAGACATACATAGAGACATACATAGAGACATACATAGAGACATACAGACACACATTCATACAGAGACATACATACAGATACATACATGCATGCATACAGATAGATACATACATAGAGATAGATACATACATACAGAGACAGACATACAGAGACAGACATACATACATACAGATACATGCATGCATACAGATAGATAGATACATACATACATACATACAGAGACATACATACATACAGAGACATACATACATACAGAAACATACATACAGAGACATACAGAGACAAACATACATACAAACAGAGACATACTGACATACATACAGAGACATACACACATACAGAGACATACATACAGAGACATACATACATACATACATAAATACAGAGACATACTTACATACATACATACATAGAGACATACATACATACATACATACATACATAGAGACATACATACAGACATACATACAGACATACATACAGACATACATACAGAGACATACATACAGACATACATACAGACATACATACATACTGAGACATACAGAGACATACATACAGACAGAGACATACATACATACAGAGACATACAGACATAAATACAGAGACATACATACATACATACAGAGACATACATAGAGACATACAGACACACATTCATACAGACATACATACAGAGACATACATACATACATACAGAGACATACATACATACAGAGACATACATAGAGACATACATAGAGACATACAGACACACATTCATACAGACATACATACAGAGACATACATACATACATACAGAGACATACAGACATAAATACAGAGACATACATACAGAGACATACATACACAGACATACATAATTACATACTTACATCTGTTAAATCTTGTCCCCTGGGTGCATGCTGTCCGGCTCTGTGGAGTCCAGTCCTGCAACCCAGCCCTGCAACCCAGCCCCATCACAGGGCGCCAGCCGCGCTGTGTGGGACACAGGGAGCAGGGATATGATGTCATTCATATCCCCGCCCCCTCCACACAGCCTGCGGCAGACACCAGGATAGGAGGTGGGCGGGCCGAGGCTGAGCTCCGCGGGCGGGAATCTCTGGGCTGCGCTCGGTAGTAACCAGCTGGAGGGGAGCCAGGTGCGCTTCCCTCCTTCCTGTCTGCCTGATGTCGCGCCCCCAGGGCTGGTGCGCCCTAAGGCGGCCGCCTGGGCCGCCTTATGGTAGCGCCGGCCCTGGCCAGGGGGTGTGTGGCCAGGGGCGAGGCTGAAATTTGGGGTGACTAACAAATAACAGTTGATGCAACTAAAATGTAATTTAGAGCAAGAATGATGTATCTTATTTACACATACTGATTTATAAACACATACATATGTATATGTGACATTAGGATAGTGTTAGGGGCCAGGAACCAGACAGAGACAGAACTAGATGCAAAAACACCTTTATTAATAAATAGAAAATAAAGTAAAAACCAAAAGCAAAGTCCAGGAGGCAAGCAGGGGTCAGGCACCAAAGCGGGTAGTCAGACGAGCCAGAGCAGCGGAGAGCAGCGAAGTCAGGAAAAAGGCCAGAGTCAGGAACCAAGAACACACAGGAACACAGAGGAACACACAGGAACAAGGAGACTTTTGGGGAACAGGAAACCACGCAAGGACAAGAAGGTACTGGGATTTGCTGCTTAACCCCTTAAGGACTGGACTGTTTTTGCGATGTTGTACATTTGCGACCAGGCCTCTTTTTACACTTTTGTGGTGTTTGTGTTTAGCTCTAATTTTCCCCTC